CCCATCCCTGGAGGTGTTCAAGGCCAGGTTGGATGGGGCTTGGAGCAACCTGGGCTGGTGGGAGGTGTCCCTGCCCAGGGCAGGGGGCTGGAACTAGTTGATCTTCAAAGTCCCTTCCAACCTAAACCATTCTATGATTCTATAAAAAAAATAAAAAAAATAAAAAAAAAGGTCGGTGAACTCTCCCTATTTAGAGTGCTCATGGAGTGAGGCAATAACATTCAATGAATACAGTGGTGTCCGGGCTTAGATATTTGAAGAGGTAATTTACTTCAGTTCAGCGACAGTATTGCTGTTATACCCTTCAGTTGCATCCTTTTCAAACAATAGATTGTGCATATCTTTTGAGTATAGCTCTTGAGATTTTTTACTAGTCTTGATTTTTGAAATGATGATTACTAAAACTAGTGGTGGAATGTGGCATGTGTATAAGTCAAAGAAACTAAGAAATACTAGACAGACGAGAAAATCTGCAACTGGCAAATTATTTTATGTCAATGGTCTCAAAGCTTTTGGAAGCTGTCACATAACACGAATATACATCCTTGCCAGTATGTGAGAGTTTTCTGTAGCATCTACCACAGTCTCTCATTTTAGGTATTTAGTCAGCTGTTTTTAGGATCTCTATTTTAGGCAAGTCATGGCTCATAATGACAGACTGGGTAAAATGCTTGCAGATGTTCTAGTATAGTAGATTTTTGCTACTATAGGTATTAGCTCAGTAATATATTTGGGACTGTATAGTGAAGTTTGATTTTTCTCAATATCTGGTTATGTTGATTTAGTAAAATCTGCTCATCTCATGACCTCTTCTCCCCCCCCCCCCCCCAAAAAAAAAAGTAATCCATAACAAATGTACTGTAAAGGCACTGCTGGATTAAAAACCCACAATTATACAACAACAAAAACCTTTTCCTTTCTTACTGTTTTCAATCTAGCAATACAGTTATCTGGTTTCCTGTTTTCTGTTTACGTTTGATGGTTTGTGTCCTTTACTTTTTTCCCCCCTCTTTGTACCGGTGCACTTGCCGGTTGCTGAAATCTACACGTGCAAACTGTAAAAGAGGTGGCTTGAATACAATTCTTCCCGTATGAACTTAAAAAATTAAATAATGGCAACCTCTACTATCTCCAAATTACTGTGATAATTGCAGCACATGTAATGCTTGAAGTGCAAGAAGTGAAAATACTATCAGGGGTTAACACAGCGCATAGAGATTAGGAAATTGGATTGTATTAAAGGGAGGTCAGATTAAAGTTAGCATAGTTCCTTTTGCTTTCATGATACTGCAGTCTTTTGTGGATTTTGGAGTCTTTGTTTCAGTATTGGATTTTTTCCCACCCTTATGAAATTTGGGTATCTATTCCTGTCATATTTTGGCACTAGGAAACAGATAAAATCAATTAAAAAATCTCTGCAAAACACTATCTCATTTTGATTGATATTTAACCTTTTTTCCATGCATATGAGTTTGACTTCTACCTAGAGATGCTATTGCAATGTCAAGGAGTAAATTTTTTTGTAAATTCTGATTTTCAAAAATGAATTTAAGAAAAATGATCTGTTTTTTCCCAGCTACCCAGTTCCTTTTTAACAGTAACGGGTCTCTTGTTTGGCTATGCTTTCTTTTAGTGATTAAAAAGGGAGCAAAATTAACAGGGATTTGTGGAGGGCCATTGTAATACTTTGTGATATCTACCTATTGCTATCTATCAAAGAAGTTTTCTGAATAAACTAATGCAATGTTACCTTCTTATTGTCTTCCAAATAGTCCTTTTACATACAGGCTCTTCTACCAGCTGCACTGACACAAATGAGTAATACAGTCAGATTTAAGGAGATGATGATCCTTAAAGTTTACTGAGCTCAAAAGGTATTTCTCGGGAACTCTATCAAATATTGAATGACAGGGTCGCACACATGCCTTTTAGAAAATTTTTAATTACTACAGGTCAAAAAATATCATCTTTTCCCTCGTGCCCTCCAGTCTGTCCCAGACCTGCAGATTTAGAGCTCTCTTTTCTTCTTAGTGCATGGTGAGAAGGAGGGAATGTGGAAGAGACTGATTTGCAGCCCAGTCCTGGGTTTGTTCAGAGCAACCATGACTCCAGGTCCTTAAAGATCTTGTCTCAGTGAAGGAATAAGCAGTTAAGCAGTGCAGTCCTGTACATTAGTCTCCAAATTATAAGAGCCCTGCTGATCCATCACGTGTCGTGGTGTGACCTTTGTATCTGGGCTCATGCAGGGGAGTGCTGGCCGTGCAATTCCTCATGCCAAAAATATTTCCCACGGGGATGGACAATGATATTTATGGTCTTGCAGACCAATTACAAAGTAGATTGACAGGATTTCTGACATTTGTTTTCATCTGGGTCCTCAAGGTTGAAGTGAATTTCAGTTTGCAGATTGGCCCGTGTTAGAGTGTCTTTGCAGTTTATTGCCTGAGGACAATTGTAGAATCTTCTGGTCCTGTGCTGGTGAGAACAACTCGGACATCCTGACCCCCAATGTTGTCCCCAGCTAGGACTTGTTATCTATACATTTCCTCAAGGCCACTCATGGTTTTGTACTCTCTCTTTCTCTCACTCTCATTAGTCTACAGTCTTTTACAGATTGAAGAGCCTTAATGTCTTAAATCAATCCATGTATGGAAGATGTTCTATACTTTTTTGGTCATCCTCATTGACCTCTTCAACCTTTTTCTAAATCTGCTTTTTTTTGAGAGGGAGGTTGAAGGGGAAGGGAATGATCAGAACTGGGCCCAGAATTCAGCCTATCAGACAATGTGTATTTTATAGCTTACTTTTCCCCTCTAAAATAGTTACTTTTGTACATTGTGGATTTCTAGTTAATTCTTTTGTCCTTCCTGTTTCTAACGTGAAAGTATAACAGGTAACCGATCTGACAGAATAAGGAGGGACATTGAAGTTGTTTCTTAGTGTTTTATTCTAAATGGAAAGTTCAGTTATTCTGCCTTGAACAAGCAGAAGCCTGCTCCAGTGTGATTTAAAATCTGTGCTGCCCTGTTTACACTGGAACTCTGCAATGTGCCGGCGCGGGGGGTAACATCTGTGCTAGCCTGAGCACGTAAAACCTGGGGAGCTCCAGCAGGAAAACACAGGCTGGGAACTCTTCACAGCCGTGCCGCTAATTTAATATGACATTGTTTGGTTTATAAAACATAGCCGTTTCCTCCGGCGAGGCAAAGGATTTTATTTCCAGTGTGACAGTGAAATGTAATATGATTATGGGATAAGTACGTGAACACTTGTGGTAGTGAGCTTGTCTGCTGTGAACTAGGTATTTTAAGAGTGCTAATTGCTCTGAGCTGAATGTTGATACTTTTTACAATGTTTGAATCTACTTAGTGATACAGTTCTTTGAAAATCAGATACAAGGGTGTCTTGTAAAACGTCCTTTCTAAGAAATTGAGGTTTATTTATCACAGAAAGTATATACATATTAAGAGAGGAAGTGCTTGATATTAAACTGCTGAAGGTAAAACATTTGAAATTCTCTTCATTATCCTGAAGTTTTACCATAAACATTCTAGTTACGATTTCTCAGCTATCATAAAAAATTGAAGTCAGACTTATTTTCTGAAAGAAACCTTGTAACAGAGACTTGCATGGTTAGAAAGAATAAATATTTATTTTTCCCTCATCAGTTCCTGAAACTGTGTTTCTTGCAGTAGAGTTGATGTAAAAATAAGCAGCTGTGAATCTTGTTCTCTTCTTTGCCTGTCTCCATGGTAGTGAAGTATTTTAGATTGCTATGTCCATCTCAGTCTCTGTAACAATGCCATCCTTTTTTAAGACTAGCTATTTTTTATCCTCAGTGGTGAGATTCAGACAGTATACAGACTTGTATTGTAGTTTTTACTCTACCATGTGGTAGTTGGAGCACTCTGCAGTGTGTCAGAAAAAGAACTGACTGGTGTGATTAGGACATATTTCTGGTTTGATTATTTTGTGCATATAGAGAAAAATGTCTTTTTTTTTTTTAAGTTGTAGGAAATAAAAAGGAAAAAAAATTTATATTGGAAGAGCAGAGTTTCTTCCATGAAGGTATGAACTGTGCTTCAAAAGTAACATGTATCTTCTGTCAGATTTCTGAA